CGAAAATACAGAGTAAATATATTAAACACTATAGATTTAAAATACAGTCAAGACAGTCTGTTCCTATATGCTTATCCAAACTTTATAATAAAATTTATAAATGTTCTAGAGTTTGTTAAACGTTCGGATTATCCAAGATTAGATTTGGAAGATTTGACTGTATTACAGTATTAATAGATATGTTTAAATGATTTATAAATAAAATCAAAGCTATTTTTTAGTTTTAACACGCTTTCGGTTGTTTTTAATATCTTTAGACCGTCTTGAAGATTTTTTTGAATTAGCAAGATTATTCTCACAATCATTACAACGTGGATATTTATTTGCTGATTTAGAAACATCCAAGCACCCACAGTGAATGCAAACGTCTGGATAGATTCTAGCGGAATAGTATGGCTTTTCAATTTCTGTTGTGCAAATCAATGAATCATTAACAAAAACTTTTAAAAAAAGTTCATAAATAGAATCCTTTGCAACAGTATCAGGCTCTTCTATATTTTCATCAGACTCCTCAGCAATTTCGGCAGACTCTTCATCGTCTGAGCTTTCAGATTCAGTTGAATCATTTTCTTCCTCATTAATTTCTTTATTAATATTTTCTTGATCAACCTCATTATCACCTTTATCAAAACTAATGTCATCTTCTAGATTGTCATCTTGATTTGGTAGTACAATCATCGCCAAGTCGCATGTGTTATAAAATGACATACCACAAGTGTAGAAGATCGTATCTAAAAATCTTTGCAACAATGACTTATCTTTTTCTGAAATCTTCTTCGTACTAAATAGAAGACGTGGTTTTTCGCATTCAATGCAACTTACAGTGATACCGATATTTTTAGCACATGCTGCAGAGGGACTAAATGGCATAGTATGTTTTGTTTTTACTTTTCTTGCTTTTTTTTCGGCTCAGATTTTATAAATGAAGGCCTATGGTTTTCTGTTGTTCGCATACCATATAGCTCTTCAAATGATATGTAATGCATATCATCTCCAGGTACCAGATCTAGGAGACAATGCAGTTTCTCGAAATCTTCTGGCAAACAACGAGGAGGACGACAAATGGTGCAAGATAATTCACCACATTTTTTAATCAAAAAAAGTAATGCCTTACAGTACAACAGAATTGCGGTTATTGTGCATCTTTTTTTCATTTAAGTCACTATAGTGGGTATGCAAAAGGTAATTCGTTCACATGCTGGTTAGTAACTATTAACATTAAATAAAAAAAAACAAAATAAAAATAAAACTTGATAATGATAGTGGAAAGGATCTTCTATACATTGAAAATAGATTGTTGTTTAAAGGAAATAATTTCAATGGTGTCAATAAGCTTGTGTGTAAAGCAAATGGCTTAATTTTTGTGTTAGTTTGATAATGACAACGTGAGGAAATTTTCTATACAATAAGAATAGGCTATTGTTTAAAAGAATATCTCAAATGATATTAATAGTGTTGTGGTTGTGCGCACTCTTTTTCCTCATATTAGACTAAGTCTTTATCGTGAGTATGTATAAGGAAATTTATTTCACACATTGGTTAGTAACTATTTAAACAAAAAATAAAATAAAACAAAATAAAATAAAAAAAGTATATAAAATCATCTTTTAACCTCTGAATCTTTAGATTCATGTAATCTTCGAAATATATATTTGAAAACCATAGTATCAAAAAATAACTTTTAATAGAAAAAATATAATTATTATTAATTGTTGTATTAATTATAAAATCATTGAATTTACATAAATTATATAAGTCATTTACCTCGATTCTAGTAGTAAATCCTTTGAATTTCAAAAAAAAAAATGCCAATTGCAAGTGTTCGAATTTCTAAAGGGTCAAAGGTCATTCATGGGTAGTATATTCATCCTATTCCTCACGAAATGACAATTAAAGAATTTTTTGTAAAACTTACAACTGGAGAATTATCTTCAGATTGTAATATAGATATAATAAATCCTGAGACAATAGAACGTGTTGAGATAAGCAAGGTACAGGATGTGACAGCAACTCAAGTCAGCATCAATTGTAATATTATAGAAGTTACAACAAGTGTAGGAATATATATGCATTATCGGCTCAAAACAGAAAATCCAAATTTTAATTCAAAACAGCAACGAAATATATTCACAATTCTAATGCAAAATGCATGTCGAACTCAGCTATATTTTCCAACTTTTGTACAATCAGAAAAATCGAATCGTAAACAAAAATTGCTCAGTGACATTGTTGAATAGATTCGAAATCGTGGTGGAGAATGGTCTACTCAGTCATATACTAATACACAAGAAAAACAATTTGTTACTAGTTTGACTAAAGTTATTTGGTATATTGATATGCGTGATCACCAGAAATTCGAAGATTGTAGTTATCACATACCTGAGCTTTTTCTTGAGTTTTTTAGCCACGTACATCCAGAATCATATAAGCAATCACGAAAATTCTTTGACGCAAACAAATTATATTTATATTATCAAGCTCTTGCTCCATATGCTACTTTGTCATGAATGCTAAAAGATAATTTTAATTGGCTTCGTGATGCATTTGATAAATTTATAGTTACTATTTCTAACTATGTAGAGTTTTTGCACAAACAACGGGACGTCACTGCTATAAATCTAGCATCAGAAACCCCTATACGAACTGTTGATCAGGCTACAACAGTTCAAATCTATAAGTATAATATTTGGGTAATGCCCGTGGATAAAACCAAATATTATCAGCTTGAACAGTTACTTAATAATACACCATTGTGGAAGCCAGTCGATCTTGAAGAATTTCTTCCAGCCAATCCTGTGTATGTAAAAATAATATTGTGACATT